AGGAGGAGGAGACTGGATTTATACCCCCAGCCCTTCACTTGGAGTAAAGATCTCTTTACATCCAAAGAGTGCAGTGTTCTTTCGGCCTCTGAAGTGAGGAGTGGAAAAAATATGGGCAGGACTATGTCCTGAGCCAGGTGAAAACTGGAAATTAAATTGGGTAAAAGAAGAAGAAGAAGAAGAAGAGGAGATTGGATTTATACCCCGCCCTTCACTTGGAGTCTCAGAGCGGCTTACAAACTCCTCTCCCTTCCCCTCCCCACAACAGACACCCTGTGAGGCGGGTGGGGCTGAGAGAACTCTGACACAAACGGCTCTTTTTCAAGGACAGCTGTGACAGAGCTTGTGACTGACCCAAGGTCACATCAGCAGGTGCGAGTGGAGGAGTGGGGCATCGAATCCGGTTCTCCCAGATACCCGGTTCTCCCAGATTAGAGTCTGCGCACTTAACCACGACACCAAACTGGGGCATCTTTGGCAGGCATCTTTGGCAGGCATCGGAAGGGGCCTACCGCCATCACACACACACCCATGCTCCCTCTCCTCCCGTCATGTAAATTCCATACTTGCTGGCCACAGGGGGTTTGTTATTGAATACTTGCTGGTTTCCCATCCAGCCTGAGAAAGTATTACTTGCGGGTCAGAGCTAGCTGGCTTGGAAGCGAGACCTGCTTTTAACACCACTTTGTGCATGTTCATGAGCACCCTCCTCACCTGCTTGGGGTCTTGGGGCTGGGCACAGGACTTGTCCTTAGCTCTGATTTACTTACACAAGGCTGTCTGAATGTTACTCCAGCTGCTCAGGAGCGGTTTGTGTCCACGCAACGTTTACTGAGCTGGGAGAACGCCTGTTATATGCCTGCCCGCTGGTTATGTGTAGGGTGTGGTACGGCCCCACTTGGTAAATGGTCTGAAGCCATCACTAGAACTACACCAAATGTGTTCTAGTTCTGACGTTTGGTGCAAACTTAGCACCCTTGACACAGCAATCCAAGCGCCTGCGAAGGCTTTCTGCCGGCAGAACCTTTGCACCGTTCCTGCACCGTTCAGGGGCTTCCAGCTCCCTGGGCTGCTGCTGCTGCTGCTGCTTCCTAGTGCCTCTTTCCTCCTCCTGTTCTGCTCAAGCTCTCCCGGGCCGTATTTTCCCACACTACCGTTCATCCTGTTCGTGGTGGCAACCCACATGGTTTTGTTTGCAGGCGTCGGTGACGTCAGCACATAGCCTTGCCATGCTGTCAGCAAAGTCACATGGGTTGCCGTAGCCAGTAGAAACCAGGTGGAAAAGTTGGCAGAAAATGACCCCAGGAAGAACAGCAGCCCAGAAACAATGCACCGCATTTGCCCTGACTGCTGCAAGTACCCTGAATTGCGAGTTGCTTTTCATGAAATCAAATGCAAAATGACAGACGCTCTTTGTGTGTTACCTTGGCCAGTCCCCCTGCTCTGAGCCTTCAGGCCTCTCGTTTCTCTGCCCTTTGCAGCCCAATGACCCCGTCACCAACATATGCCAGGCGGCAGACAAGCAGCTCTTCACCTTGGTGGAGTGGGCGAAGAGGATCCCCCATTTCTCAGAGCTGCCCTTGGACGACCAAGTAATCCTGCTCAGGGCTGGTGAGTAGGATGTGCTGCCGGCGGGGGGAGAGGGTGAGCAGAGAACAGTGGGCTAGGCCAAGATGTAGCACCCTAACTGTCCCAAGTCAATCACGCTCAACAACAGCCCTTAAGAAAGGTGCAGTTAATGAGAAAAAAAAAAGAAAGGTGCAGTTTATTGAAGAAAGCACTTAGGTCATCATACGACACACCTTGTGTCAGGAATGAGGGTAAGGCAGGAAGTCAGATAGTTATACTCAGTTCATACAAATCCCCCCACCCCCCAAGGTGCAGGCTAATGACCAGGGGCAAGCAAGGAAAAACGGCTCGGCTCTCAAAGCAGCGCGGCTGCGCACAGCTCCAAGGCCGCAGGAGAGATAACGGGATGAGCTAGGAGTGCATTCCAGAAGGAGAGGAGGGGGGGCAGTGAGAAGAAGGGGGAAGCTGGAGGCGAGTGGGGAGAACACAGTCCATCCCATGGCGGCGTCAGCCGACATTCCGCCCCCCCAAAGCCCCCCCCCCCAGCTTGAGCGTGAACAACCAATGGAAAGCACGGAGAAGCTTAGGAGCATTGACATGGGAAGCTTCCACCCTTTCCCTGTGAGCCGGCCCAAAGTCCACCCAGTCCACCAGATAAAACACCTTCCCTCGCTTAAACTTGGAGTCCAGGATCTGGGAGACCTCAAAATGCTGCTCGCCATCCACCAGCTTGGGGTGGGGGGGGCAGATGCTGTGGTCTCCATACGTTCGGGCCCGGATCTCTCTTCAACAGGCTGTGGTGGAAAATTGGGTGGAAATGTCTCACATTTTTTGGCAGGTCAAGTTCAACAGTGACTTCATTCAGTTTGCACAACACCTTGAACGGCCCCTCATATTTCCACCCCAATTTCTGGCTTGGTTGCAACCCACGCGTGTTCTTAGTGGATACGTAATTTACAGGGCTCTTTTTGTAGCAGGAACTCCTTTGCATATTAGGCCACACCCCCTAATGTAGCCAATCCTCCAAGAGCTTACAGAACTCTTCTTACAGGAGCTACTGTAAGCTCTTGGAGGATTGGCTACATTAGGGGTGTGTTGCTTAATATGCAAATGTGTACCTGCTACAAAAAGAGCCCTGCGTAAACAGTGTCCCCCGGGCTCAAGTCCCTCCCTACCTGGGACTTGTAGGCAGCCTTAGCCAAGTCTAAATGTTTTTGAACGACAGGCCAGGTGTCCTAAAGGGTTTTCCACCAAGACTGCACCTCGCCCTCAAGGGCCGCCGGGGCATCCCTGAGGAGAGGCAATGGATTCCCCTCATACCCAAACACAGCTTTGAAAGGAGACAACCCAGTTGAGGAATACAGCGTTGTTATAGCAATATTCCGCGTGAGGGAGCAAGTCCACCCAATCATCCTGCCTGTGGTTGGTGAAGCATCGCAAGAATTGTACCAGGATTTGATTCACCCTCTCTGTTTGCCCGTCAGTCTCAGGATGGTAGGCACGACTGAGCCCCTGCTCCCTTGTCCCACACCGCCCAATTGCGTTCAGTTGCGGTGAACTTGCGGGACACGTATGCCAAGGGGTGCAGCTTGTCGTCCCCCCCCCCTGCAAGATCGCCCTGCCCATGGCCACATCCAAGGCATCGACCTGGACCATGAATTTCTTATTTTCATCAGGATGGGCCAACACCAGTTCAGAGGTGAACAAAGTCTTAAGCTTATCGAACGCCCCCTGACACTCAGGAGTCCAGTTCAGCTTCGCCCCGGGTCTGGTGCTTTCCGGCCCCTTCCCCTTAGCTTTTAACAGGTCTGTGAGGGGCAGGCTGACTTGGGCGAAGTTTGAGATGAAATTTCTATAAAAGTTCGCAAATCCTAAAAAGGATTGGGGCTGGCAGCGGGTGCGGGGCGCTTCCCACCCCAGCATGTCCCACACCTTGGCAGGGTCCATCTCCAGCCCTCGAGGTGAGATGTGATAGCCCAGGAAGTCCACCTCAGTCTGATTAAATTCACACTTGGAGAGTTTCACAAACAGCTTATGCTTGTACAGAGTCTGGAGCACCTCTCTTACCAACTACCCCTGGGACCTCTTGGTGGGGGGGAGTACAGTAAAATGTCATCTAGATAAAGAAGGGCCCCCCTGAATAAGTGCTTGTGCAACACTTCATTGATCAAGTTCATGAATACTCCAGGGGCCCCTTGGAGCCCAAACGGTATGACCAGGTATTCAAACTGACCCAGGGGAGTGTTAAACGCAGTCTTATACTCACCCCCCTCCTTGATGCACACTCGAGAATATGCATCCCGCAGATCGAGTTTGGTAAAGATCTTCCCCTTGGCTGCCTCCGCCAGTAGGTCTTTGATCAGCGGCAGAGGGTAGGCATTGGTAGCCGACACTGCATTCAACCCCCTATAATCCATGCATAATCATAAACCCCTGGCCTTCTTCTTCCGGAAGAGGACAGGTGCGGAAAAAGGGGAGGAGGCGGGTCGAATAAAGCCTCGAGCCAGGCTTTTATCAATTAATTTCCTCAGTTCTGCCTTCTCACTGGGGCTCATGGCATATAACTTCCTGGCCCGAGGAGCAGTTCTATAGCACAGTCTGAGTTCTTGGGGGGGGGCAGCTCATCCGCCTCCTCCTCCTCAAACACCCGAGCCAAGTCCTGATACTCAGGGGGTATGGCTAGCTCCTCCTGTGCCAAGCAGGCTCACACCGGTTCATCGGGGGGTGGCTGGCCCCATCCAGGGTCCCAGCCATGACACTTACACTTGGTAGCGATAAACTGAACTTTCCCCTCCTCCCACAAAATGGAGGGGTTGTGGCTATGCAGCCAGGGACTCCCCAAGACCAAGGGGAATCAGGTTGTTAGGGTCACCACAAACGGTCGGTGTTCCCAGTGGCCCCCCCGCCCCCATCCACAGTGGAACTGTCTGGAATTTACACGGCTCTTTCATGGTCAAGCCATCCATCCGCGTGAACACTATCGGCTCCGGACGTGGGGACAGGAGGATCCTCACCATCCACAAAAATCTGGAGTGAGAGGCCACTGCATGCTTGACCGTCTTGCCCAGTAGATGGGTCTGGAGTGGTTAAAATCAAAGGAACTGGGGGAGCTTTGGAGCCCCTCTCCCTTGTGGAGAATGCCGGTGTGGCCACAGGCATGGCAGGCCACCACCAGGGTCTCTCCCGCTTCCTTCTGAGGGCTGGGGTGTGAGCAGACCGTGGCTGCTAGGAACAGCTTCACAGGGCGCCATGGAGCAGATGCAGTGCAGGCGGAGATGTTGCCGTTTCTTGGCCCCAGAGGAGGTCTTCCAATGGGCTGCGGCCTGTGATTGGTCACATGTGATCCATTTGACTGGGTGGGTCACACTGCATAGAGAGCCAGTCGAGGGCTGGAGAAGGGGGCGAGGCTCTGCTGGCTCTGGGCCTGGTGAGAGGAGATGAGCCACGACTCCGTGGCGGACCACAGGCTTCGCGCGCAGAAAGTCCTGCACCCGATTCCCAGCTTCCTCAGTTGGCTCCCATGAACGGCTGCGAGCAGTGGTTATCCTTTGGCTCGGTGGGTCAGAAGGTGAATGGGTCCGGGTTGAGGGGCTGCACAGGGATTGTGAGGTGCACCAGACTGACCCCGATGCCTGGTGGTGGTGCCTTGCAGCAGAAGATGATCGCTACCGCCCCAAGGCCTATACCTAGATTGTGTGTGGGTTTCTGCATTGTGCTGGGTGCACTGAGACAAGCCAAAGAGGCCGGGTCACTCTATGTTCACCGTCACAACTCGGTGCCCTGTTCTATTCTCTCCAGGTTGGAATGAATTACTTATCGCCTCCTTTTCTCATCGGTCCATAGCTGTGAAAGATGGAATCCTTCTCGCCACCGGCCTCCATGTCCACCGGAACAGCGCTCACAGTGCGGGGGTTGGCGCCATCTTCGATAGGTGGGGAGGAAGTGTCTGGGAGATGGGTCCTTCGGGGGTGGGGGTCCCAGACTGGCTTTGATTTGCCGTGCCCATCTGGCCCTGTTGCATGTATGCCAGTGACCAGTGCTCCCTCTAAGCTGAGTTAGTGTGCGCTAGCTCACAGTTTTTTAGCCTCCGGCTCACACATTTTTGCCCTATCCTCAGAAAGGAGGGCTCCAGAGCAAACTGATTTATGCAGGAGCCAAATGGCTCGCTCACAACTTTAATGCCAGGCGCTCACAGAGTAGAATTTTTCCTCACAAGACGCCACAGCTGAGAGGGAGCCTTGCCAGTGACCCCTCTTCCAATTGCACAAATGTCTTGTTCTAGTCACAGTCGACAACGGACAACCAGCAGTTCTTGTTTAAACATCCATTTCCAGCCCTCGTGGCTTCAGAGACCTCACTGAAACGGGTCCCCACATTCCAAAACCCAGGAACCCTCAGTCCCAGCGAAGAAAGTGGCCCGGGGGTTCGGAGGTGCACGAGGCGCAGTTTCTCGGTGCCCGAAGGCCAGCCGCAGTGGACGGGCTTCCTGCTTTCAGAGTCCCCATCGGCTCTTGTTCTTTTGACCTTGCAGAGTATTGACGGAACTCGTGTCCAAAATGAGGGACATGCAGATGGACAAGACGGAACTGGGGTGCCTCAGAGCCATCGTCCTCTTCAACCCAGGTAGGTGCGGCTGCCCGGAGAGGAGGCCTCATTCCCGTGGCACGGGGACCACTACTTGGTAACATCAGGAGACAGAGAAATGTTCTCGCCATGTGCCCAGGAACTGACACTGGGAAGAGAAGGGGAGCCTGGCTGTTCTGCCCCCTGCCCTTGGCCTGGCATCTCTTTTCTGCCACTCTGCCAAGGCAGACGAGGTACTCCTGGGGCATATAAGGCCCTTCTTGCTTCTGCCACTCTGTCGAGCACTGTGCTAGTGGCGCCTGGCTAGGGCGGAGTCATTCTGGGGTGCACAGGTGAGGGGCAGTGCGGCTCTTCCTGCCTGGAGAGGGGAGGGGCCATGGCTCAGTGGCAGAGCCTCTGCTTGACATGCAGACGTCCCCAGGGTCAGTCCCCAGCAGCATCCCCAGTTAAAAGGACCAGGCAGTGGGTGATGTGAAAGACCTCCGCCTGAGACCCTGGTGAGCCGCTGCCCGTCTGAGGAGACAGGGCCGTCCCCGATGGACCTGGGGGGGCATCTGAGTCAGCACCAGGCAGCTTCCCAGGAATTCACGTGTGTCAGGAGCCCAGAGGTGGCGAGTAGGAGTGCTGAGCCAGAATGGCCTTTGGGCAGGTCACAGCTCAGCTGCACAAAGGAGTGGCTTTTTCTCTGGGTTGGGGAATGCCTGGAGTTTTGGGGTGGAGCCCAGGGAGGGCCGGGTTGGGAGAGGGGAGGGTGCTCAGCAGGGGTGAGGTGCCAGAGAGCCCACCCTCCAAGGCAGCCATTTCCTCCCGGGGGGGGGAACTGGTCTTTGCCATCTGGAGATTACTGGCAATCCCTGTGTCAGCGAGCTGCCAATGTGTCTTTGCCATATGTCTCAGACGTGCCTAATACCCCCTGTTGTCAAAACTCCCCCTATTGCCATGGTACCAGTAATCTGCTCCTGTGCGCATGTCCACCCTCGCCCCCATGCGCTCATCGTCTCCTCCACTGCATTCCTTTCTATGTACGCTAGTATTGCTGATGGAACGTTATCAACCCAAGGCCACAGGTGGTGTGCGGCAAGAGGCTTTTGCTTCGTCTGTAATGAACATGTAGTGTGGGAATAGTCTACTTGTTTAACTGTATAGAACCATTGCTTCTCAGGGTTTGGGCGCGCGGGGCGCCTTCTAAGCGGGCGCAGGAATCATACCTATTGGGGCTAGTGTAATTATGAACTTGCTTTAACCTTTCTGTCAAACGCTCATTTCATTATTCTGAACAGAGAATCTGTTCTAAGTGCTTCACGGCTTCAATAAAATAAAAACCTTCCTGCAAGTGTGTACTTCATTGCCTGCTGTGGGGTCTGACACCCTGGAGATCTCCTGGGCAGTGTTCCCTCCAAGCTGAGTTAGTGTGAGCCAGCTCACCATTTTTCAGCCTCCGGCTCACAGATTTTTGTCTTTGCTCAGGAACGATGGCTCCAGAGCAAACTAATCGATGCAGTAGCCAAATCACTCGCTCACAACTTTAATGCCAGTAGCTCACAAAGTAGAATTTTTGCTCACAAGACTCCACAGCTTAGAGGGAACATTGCTCCTGGCCCCACTTGGAGTACTGGCCTACTGTAAGGCTGTCGTAAAGACTGGACCTGACCGGGAACATGAAGAGGGCCGCACTGCCATGTCCGCTGGGAAGAATTCTCCGTGTTCCCTGTCAGGTTCATCCTCTCTGACTGCTGTCGCTGCCTCTGGGGTTTTGAGGCCTCCTTCTGAGCTCCTGGATCTGTCTGTGATGGAGAGTGTTTGCAGCCCTCTTGGCCTGCAGAGGGAGAACCCCCCTTAGAGGAGATACCTTTGTGATTCTGTCCTGACTGAATGTCCTCGTCCTTCGATCTTGTTGAATTCCTGTGCAGAATCCTGTCCGGTGGCGCTCAGCCGGCCAGCTCCTGGGGAGACGAGAAACACAGCATTGGACAAAATGAAGGGGACGGACCCAAAAACCTTGAATGGGTTTAGAGTAATAGGGTGTGTTGGGTTATGAAATCCTGTGAGGAAGCAGTGCCACCGGGAATGTGTTTTATATATAATCTAATCCTCCAAAGGTTTGGTTTGGTTTTTTCTCTCTCCCTTGGGTGTGCTTTCACTTCAAGTCCTCGTTTGTGAAGCTCGCCCTGGCAAGATAAAGTCAGCAGTGTTTGCACCAAAGGCCAGTTGCTATCACAGGCTCAAGCTAAGGGACCGGGTTGGTCTTAAAACCGAGGCCTTCTGTTTGCCCTTAAATTACCCGTGCCTCTAGTCCTCAGGAGGCTTCTGAAGATCTCCCGTTTAACGGCCTCTCTTTCCTTGCAGACTCAAAAGGTCTTTCCAATCCCACTGAGGTAGAGGCTCTCCGTGAGAAGGTGTATGCGTCGCTGGAGGCCTACTGCAAACACAAGTACCCCGACCAGCCTGGGAGGTGAGGGTCTCCGCTTGTCTTCATGGGGGAGGGGTCCCCCCCTTTCTATCTGCATTAAAGGAAGAACACATCAGAGACACTGAGAATTATTTTGCCACAGTCAATGCCTTTCATCTGTCTGGAAAAAAGAGTCTTCTCTGCATTTTGTTCTCTGGCGAGTAGAGAGCGCTCTCTGGGAGGATGCCAAAACTTGGAGGAGGGAGGAAGGGGAGGGGCTGTTTCCCAGGCACCAGTTACTGTTAACTAGGAGCAGATCCCATTAATGCCTCTCTTGAGCAAGTAGCTATAGCCAGCAGCCTGTTTGCATTGGTATCCTCCATAACTCCCTCCCTCCAGTCAGCAAGACCAGAGGGAACAGTTCCAAGCAAAGTGGCCCCATGTTTGCCACTGCAGGGGGGGAGGGCTACTTCTTCACACACACCCTCTTCTCCGATTGGTACAGGTCCAAGCTGGTCACCTGACAGTCAACATGTTTCTGAACGGCCATCATCTGGTTCAGTTTAGAAATGAAACTTTCTGGATTTGGGGGTGGGGAGAGGAGGGGAGGAGGGTGCCAGGTTTTGATTTGCATGTTCTTGTCCTTTGCCCCGCAGCAGTTGCCAGCTCAGCACTGAAAACAGAGCGCAGGCGAGAACTCCGAGCAGGAAACACTCCCCACCCCCCTGCTCAGCTTGCTCAGTTGTGGGATTCAGACCCTGCTTGCCGCTTTCAGAGCTGCCAACTGCGCATGCATTGGCAATAAAAATAAATAAGACATAAGAGCGGCAGTATGTGTGCGGAGGGCAGGGAGGGATAGAAGCACTCTGAGATCCGATGAGCGGCGTTCCTTAAAATGATGGAGAGGCGCAGCGTGAGTCAGAATCTGGGCCTGGAACAAACCTTCCCGTCTCATTTGGTGCTAAATTTCGTGAGCAGCTCTTCTTTGCTCTGATTTTCCAGCACAAACTGTGAACCAGGCTGCTTGGTCTCTGCACTGCTCTTCTCTGTGCGGTTTCCTTCCTTTGCCTTCACAGTCAGTGGCCTCATTTACTCTTGGCTGCTGTCTAGTCCTATTGGCTGTGGCAATCGCGAGATTTCCCCCTCCCCCCCCCCGTGACGCCACACTTCTGCATATGATGTGATCAGGGGTCATTTCGCAGAAAAAGAG